CTTAGTATTGGATTTTCTAGCCCTGGAAGGTAAACATTTATTTTTGCAGAAATGAGTTTTTGTTTTCTTCTCTGAGTTTGTTGATGAGAAAAAAAAAATCATAAACTGTTTTTCTTACTGTTCTTACAATGCCCAAGAATGGTTTCGTCTGTTAAGGATGATAGAAGATCTTAGGTGAAGATATGACATTTCTAACCACTGACAGGTTGGGGATTTCTGTGCTCTCATGGTGGGCCTGGGGGGCTTTGTTTTACCTGGCTAACTCAGAGGCTCACTCGCTTTAAGGCTAATTTGGACTTTTTCATCCCATCCCATCCTTAATCTGGGTTATTTCCTTTTCTAATCTCAACACCCTAAACCCCTCAGGCTGTTTCAAGTGTGTTCCACCAGGACCAGCCTTTCTGGAAGTCTCTGAGCTGTCTTCCCCGTCCAGTCTCTCTAGCTGACCCTGTCCCCACAGGGCCCGGCTGTGTCCAGAAAGGAGGGGAATTCCTTCTTCTCAGTGCTCCCATTCGGGCCTCCTGTCAGTGTAGATCAATGGGCCATTCTCAGCTCTCACTTTCTCTAAGGCATTTGACCTTTCTGACACTGGAGGTTGAGTAGTTGTTTGAGGACAAGAACTGTGTTCTTCTCACCCTCACGGGCTCTCTATAAATATTTATAAAGTGAATGTACATATCCTTCTTTTAGAAACTTTGCCAAACTCTCTATGATTATGCTCCTAGAACACTCTCTCCACCCAGTCTTACCCTCTAACTCTGCTTCCTACTTCCTTAAACGCACATGCTCTGTCCTAAATGGTTTTCATTCCATCTCCTGGTACTAATGCCCTTTGTCTCATTATTGCTCAGGGCTCTGTCCCTGACACCTCTGCCTGGTGTTCTTGCTTCCAGACCATTGTCTTGGCTCATCTGCATTCCCCTGAATGCCTGCTGGTGCTTTATCCTGTCCCCAGAGAAACTCGTAAACTTGCTCTTCCTCTTCTCTTATTTTTTCTCTTTTTTAGTCAGTGACATCTTCCCAGTCCTCCAGACCAAATCTTTGATGCTTATGACACTATCACCTAAATAGAGCCAATTCTGGGCTTGCGTATTTTTCATTGTGCATGCGTACTCTGGAATAGTGAGAGTACACGTCCAAACCTTCTGCTTAACTTAAGCAGCTTTTGCATGAACACTCCCAGCCAAAATGACTCTCCCTCTGTGACTCCTCACAGCACTTGGCCTCGTGGCCATTAGCTCCACTTACCTTGTCGCGCTGAATATGGCCATTTTGGAACACACATCTCATCTCCTTAATTAGATCACAGCATCTTGAGGGAGCACTTGTGTCTGAATTGTCTCTGAGTCCAAGCAAGGGCACAACCCAACTGAGGGACTGGGAAGAGGAGCTCTTGCTCAATGTCACTCATTCTTAAGCCCTGCTAGTTGGATGGTGGTGTCTCCCTCAATGTTCCCAGCAAAGCCCAAATGCTGTCGCTTCAACTGTATTTGGAACAACGCATCCCTGAATTTGTAAGAGTGAGAATGGCATCTACCCCTGCACAGTAGGCCCCAGACTTTAAAATAATATTTTAAGACTAGTGAGAAAGACAAGCTCTTGTTCATGGGAAGTCATAAAATTGATCCACATTAGTAACGGTGATAAACCAATTAGCATTAGGTTTAACATTTATTGACTGCATTTTTGAGGGCTTTATATATAGCTTCTCGTTTCTTCTCGACAGCCATAAAGCTAGTGCCAAATGATTAGGCATTATTCTTTTATCTCTTTATACTTTTCAAAGTTCTTTAATAGCCGTATCTCAGTAGCCTTGAGGTGGGAAGGGCAGTGGTAGTGAATTACGCTTTCTTTTTTCTGATCTCATAAAACCCTGTCCACATCTCCTGTGAAGTCTCACAACCATTTAACAAATGAGAAAATTACTTCATGCTTAGACATGGTGACTGATGTGGCCAGGAGCTGACATTCAATTCCTGGGCAAAACCACTCTAGAACCTGCATTGCATGGCGACTAAGAGCTAAGAGTACCTGCAGGTCGCCTGGCATGGTGTTCAAAACTCAGGGTTTAGAGTGTTCTCTCTAAATTTATGGAGATTCCTGGCATCACAGACCAACTCTAGAGAGTGGGCAGCACTTCTCCTCATGGCATTCGGCTGGCTCTCTGCCCATTCCATGGTCTGTTGCCTTCAGTGGCATGTCCTGACCCCTGCCCACCCACCCAGTGCTTGTGGCGAGTAAATGAGATACCCAGGAGGAGGCATGGTCTGCCCAACTTTCTTTTGCTAGCGTTTTTGCTCCAAGAAACTTACTTAACCAATGGAAAAACCCAGCCAACATTAAGCCAGTAGATGGTTTCTAGAAGTTGAAAACTCTCTGGGCTACTCCAGTCCCCATTGCTTCATTTCCCTTCTCTCCTAGTGAGTAAAGAAGCAGAGGGTCTCCACAGCCTGGCTTCTCAATTGCACCCCCCCCACCAACTCTGGGATGATGGTAAAGATAATAACAATATGGGCCAAAACGCCAAGCACAGGTAACTTTTATTGAGGGTGCACTATGTGTCAAGCATTTGCTATGAACTCCATATGCATTTTGAGCTCAGTGGTTCTTTTTTTTTTTTTT